CCAAACCCTGTCTATAGTCACTATTAAAAGGAGACAATTTTTGATAAATGTGGGTTAAAAATTCCTAAGTTCTTTTACAAACTGTTACCCATGAATAATTAAGTAGCTAGTGGAACAGAGTCCTTTCTTAGAAGCTGATAGCCGTTCACCCCATCAAAAATTTCCTGTCTTTTGTTAACGACAAAGTTTATTGTCATGTTCACAAGAGCCTGCCATTGGGCTCTTCCTTAAAATATCTTAATACAATTCTCATCTACGCCTAGGCCATATCACCCTCCCTGGTTTTATTATGCTAGTAATATTTGATGAAGACTTCAAAGAATGAAACTCCTCATTATGTAGCTTTCTCCTCCCTCCTACACCTTCCTGCCCCTTGGATCCGAATCTTCTTGGCATTGGGATGTCAGGCACCCACGTCTATGTTCTTGCCTGAGGAACTAAAGAAACTAACAAGTTATGAATTGTTGCACAGGACTTCCGGCTATCAGAAGGCAGTTTCTTAGGCTCATGCTAGAGTTAACAGTTTCTCATTCAGAACATACTTTCACATTTCAATTACAGACAGACGAAATAGGCACAAGTGTAAAATACAAAATATCTTCCAGTAGTTCATAATTTTGAGTAGGTGATTTTCACTTCCAAATGTGAAAATTTTATTTTAGTATCAGGACAATTTGCCATAGCCCAGTCTGGTGAAAGCTGAAAGCACTGTATGACACTCAATCAAATTTCAAGCTTTGTAAGATTGTATGCCAGGTTGTGTACATATGTATACATGTGTGTATATGTGTATATAACAGAATCGGAGCGATAGACAGATCATAGAGGCTTTAAATATTGGACAGTTGAAGGTAAACTCAAAATTTTCATTTACGAAAAAGTGTAGAACATTAAATTCGGAGATTATTTTGTACCATTCAGTTCAGAAGCTTTTATCTTCCAGTCTCCTACCTGAAAACGTAAACACAAAAACATACATAGCTGTAAATCTAGCTGCCATTTTGTGCGAGTGAGAAACTGGTCTCTTACTGCAGGGGAATAAAGCAGATTGAGGAATTTTTAGAACAAGTTGCTGAGGGCATGTTTGAACCTAACGGAGAGTAACAGGAGGGTGAACCGCCTCTGTGGTCTAGTGGTCAGAGTTCCTGGTTACAAATCCAGAAGTCCCGGGTTCTATTCCCGCCGCTACCAGATTTTTTAAAACCGCGCCATAGCTCAAGCGGTTAGTCGCTGGCTTCCCACCGAGGCGGCCCTGGTTCGATCCCGGGGTCTTGTCAAGTGGGATTTGTGGTGGACAAAGTGACGCTGGGGCGGGGTTTCTCCAAGTACTTCAGTTTCCCCTGCCAATCTTCATTCCACCAAATTCTCCATCATCATCATCATAATCACCCGGGGCAGGTACAATAGGCCAATCAGTGGCCGCCGTGCCGAGTGGACCCAGCTGGACTCCACCCCCCACTAAGCGAAAAAGGAGGGTGACTACAATTACATAATAAGGAGTTTTATATATTTGTAAGGCGATCAAATAAAACAATATGGGTGAGAGAACATGTAGCACGCATGGAGATATGATAAAAGTGTAGCAGAAAATTCTGAGAATATACAATTTGAAAACTAGACATCTATGGGAAGATATGCTAAAATGTATCTTAGCGAAATAGCATATGAAGTTGTGGACTGGTTTCGTCTGGCTCAGGACGCGATCCAGTGGCTAGTTCTTATGAACACAGTAACTAATCTTGGGATTCCATCAAAGGCGACGAATTTCTTGGGTACCTGCGCAAATATTAGTATCCCAAGAAACGGTCTGTTCCAGGGAGTTGGCTTATAGCAGTGTCTACTCTCTGTACCATTGTCATTTGATACTGGAGAGATTAATGTCGGGTTTGTGGCTGAACTGTACTGGTGCATTACTGATGGTATATCTGTACACATGGTCGCTGTTATCAGTCGGGTGAGCAAACACTGTCAGATCACCGGAAAGCTCGGCGCAACTATTGAATTCTATTCAAGTGTAGGGTTCGAGTTCTTGGCAACAGATAAGAAAACTCTTCATTGGAAGCCTACGTGACAGCTTCATCCAAGGTCTTTTATTGATCTCCTTCGGTTTTACTGATCTTGTATTTGCGAAGTGACTTACGTGAAGATCAGTGTGACGGCTTACAAAATGTTCTTTGCTTAGAGCCTCTTTCAGATGAAAGTAGCAGAACAGGCTCAGTCAACCCGTAAGACCTATAACTTGTGTTCATAAGGCTCCGGTTCGAATCTCGGCTCCGAGACAGATTTGTGATGACTGAGGATTCTGTGGTTTTCCTCAGCCGTTACAGGGAAATGCTGACATAGTGCTTTAAATTAGATCACGACCTCTTCCCTTCACATCCTTTCCCATTCATCATTCATTATCATCCAATTGTTAGATTTCTTATTATTTATTGCTGGTGGGGTGGAACTACGTCCCTTGTACTGCAGCCACTTCTGGCCTATTGTACCAGCCCCAGATGATAGATGAGGGTGATTGTGGAACAATTGGTGAAATGAAGATTGGCAGGTGAAACCGAAGTACTCGGAGAAAACCTGCCCCAGCGCAGGTCCACCACAAATCCCACTTGACCAGACCGGGATCGAACTCGGGCCACCGCGGTGGGAAGCCAGCGACTAACCGCTTGAGCTCTGGCGCGGCCTTCTGATTAGTAAGTCTGCATTTACTACAAGTATTAATGCATTTCCTTATTTGTGCCGTGAGGATAGGTGCCCGAAAGCTCATATAAATTCCCTCGTATGATCCAGAAAGACTCTGAATACCTCCACTGTCTTTCAGATTAATGGACTTTGAAATAGTTGGGTTTGAAATGTAAAATGTGCCACAAAGCTATTCATCGGCGCTCTAATTCATTTGGCGCTCGAAGATCCAATACGATGGAGAATAATACATGTATTGGTTATAATGAATGGTAACCGCAGCGGCGTGTTCTAAGATTTATCATATGGAAGAGCCGAAAAGAATATGAGAAGTTGCAATTGTCTTACGAGATTGAACTCCAGCCTTCTGAAGACTGGGTGCGAATGAAGAGTGTGAACAAGCAATCTTGATTCCTTGACGTCATGTACAGTTCCTCGCTTAATGATAACATATGAACATATATTTTTGATCTTGCTGTTTGAAATCAATTTTACAACACACCCACAATTAATGACGCACGTCCTGGCTTTGTTCTTTGTGCTTTCTCCTATTCTAGCGCGTCACTTAGAAATCTCATTCATCCTGGAATCCAACGTAGGGATGTACTATCCTGTAAGATCGCGTTTACACAGCAACGCCCCTTGCAAAATTACATATAGTTGGGTAAGCATGACTCATACCGAACTGGCTAAATCAGCGTTAATGAAATTAACTTGTATTTTGAACGTATTAATTTCTAGTCTCGGACAGGATATATACATAGATTTTTCCCAGGCTAATATTTAGGCCAATGTAGACTACCATAAAACGGACTACAGTCCTCCTTGCTCCTTTTTGTGACACGTATGGTCATTGCTAGGTGACGACTCAGTAAACAAGCTCGCATCAAACACGCAACCAACAATATAGGACATCCATTGTTAGGCAACGGAAGTGTTTTCTATGGACTCGCCTCGAGGCTGTATAAGTAGTTCAGGAGAGGTCGTCGTAGGCCAGACAGGAGCGAGTCCTAGGTAGCCAAGGAAGAAGGGTTCGGCTGAAGGTTGATTGTGAGTTATTGTAATTGATTGTGATTACGAGTGATTGTACAAGGAACGATCAATAAATCCAATTACCATTGCGAACCACGTTTTAAAGTCACCCGTGTATGTGGCTTTTCTTTTTTCGTTCATTTCATGACAATATCCCACTTCTGAATCCACAAAAGAAGACGCGAAAATATATACCGTCATGTAATGTCGAAGTTAAGAATGGCGAAAGAAGATTTTCTGAAATTTTATATTGTTAAGTGTCTTCCTACAAATATATTCGATCCTAGTCTGCTGCAGAAGGCAATTATACGTATTTATTAAAGTCTGTTCGGAATTACTTATAAAATTTCTGTTTCAAGCTGAACAATTCTCTCATCACTGGAACATTAATGTCTTCTCGGATCTGATGTCGTGTAATTTCGTGGATGTTTCGCAGAAAGCTACAGCCTGTATCTTCTGGGTAAAAGAATAATTTTCTTCCCTAAAATGGAGGCAGTAGGTACCTTCGAAACGTTAGTATCTATCCACTAAAATGTACGGCGTCACGCTCAAAGACAATGATCTTGGTCACCATAATAACTTCAAATCTTGCAAAGTAATTTTTACAGATGAAAATCTCACTACAATTTTCCACTCAACATAACGTGTATCACATTTGATTTTAAATGTTTGTCACCCACAGTCACATTAGGAAGTTCTTGAGGTAAGGTGGAGTTGTCTTTGTCTTAACTATTTAAGCCCTACCCCGTGAAGATCTACGGGGGACTGGATGTATAGGCCAATATTTAATTTACTTATACACTTCCTAAATCTGTGATTAAATTTTTTATACAATTGTTTTTAAATAACGGGTTTAAATAATTCCTTTCAGAATTTTCCACAAAAGAAAGTCCCTGGTAAAAACTACATATGAGAGTAATAATTCGGTTTTTATTGTCTACATTTTGTCTACATTAAAATCGCCCAATAAAACTGTTTATTTGAGCCCTCAGGATAAATGGCAGTTTATTGTCTTTTGAAGAAAAAATAAGTCGAGTGTCCCTGACTGAAATTCACGATGATTTAATCCAATAAAACAAATCAATTTCCTTTCCGGCATTTCACAAGGAACCTAAAAATCCTAAGAGCTTCACGGTTGGTACAATTTAGTTCGTAGACTTGAAATTGTATGCAGCAAGTATTTGCTTCTGAAAATATGCTGAAAGCGAGAAAGCTTTTCACAAAAATTTTCAGACAGATATGCATTCTGGTGTGAATGCCACGAGTAAACCTGCAAGTCTTTAACTTACCATGCTGAATGCTGCCCTTCCCTTCCGTCTTGATGACACCGGACAGTGACCCTGCTGATCCCTGGCTCCCCTGTCCTGGATTCTTTGGTTTCCTTTTTCGGGTCTGAATACCTTCTTTCTTCATGCTTAGCGGGCGGTTGACCTGTAAGGCGAACAACAAGGCCACTGCTTGGAGTTACGTTGCTACAAAATCTTCTGAGAACCAATGTTTCGGTTCTCATCTTACGACAATCCAGAATGCTAACCCTTATTTTCAAAGGTTCTGGTCAGGACTCAAAAAATAGCTCACAACATAAAATCTACTTTTCAATTCACAAAACAATCGAAAGTTTCGTGTAAGTTTTTCGTGCACTCGCTTTGTATTTGTTTAGCCTTGGCTTCCAATTTCGGTCCTAAAGATGGCTAGCCTGAGAGGTTTCATGGGTTTCTCATAGTTTCTTGGCAAATGTGAGAATACATATAACGTAAAATACAGGGTTAGTCCAAAAGAAAAGACAATTTCAAAGTTTTACAGAAAGAAGAGTTTTAATAGCATGGCCGAGATACTTACATGGTTTGAAAGGTAGGCCCTGAAGTTTACATGGGTAAGTTACAAGAGTTCTATATATGACCCTTTTGTAACACGACAAATATCAATGCGATAGTCTACTTCTTCCCAAACGCTTCTCAGCATGCCCACGTCAGCAGTTGCAGCAACTACTGTGATGCGTTGTTTAAGATCGTCCGCACTTGTAGGCAGGGGGGGAACCTAAACTCTGTCCTTTATGTAGCCCCATAAGAAGTAGTCACAGGGTGTTAAATCCGGACTTCTTGGTGGCCAACATGTAAGAGCCATGTTCTGGGCGGTTGGACGTCCAATCCAAAGCCGAGGCAATTTTTTGTCCAGATAACCCTGTAGAACATTTGTAACTTACCCATGTAAAGTTCAAGGCGTACTTTTCAAACCATGTATGTATCTCCGCCATGCTATTAAAACTCTTCTTTCTGTAAAACTTTGAAAGTGTCTATTTCTTTTAGGCTAACCCTCTATATCACGACCTATTCCTTCCAGATGCTTTCCGATTCATCATTCACTGTCAGCCTTCCAGTCGAAGCCGCATAACGAAGTGGAATAACCTATAGGAAACTGACCAAGTCCAGTTCATTACACCGAGATTAACAATAACCCATCTCCTATATTCGTTAACTCGTATAGGGTCGTATGTGAACGGGAGCATATCTAGAGTCATTGTCATGGTAATGCCGTCTACTGGTAGGAGACTGGATACATTAAAAAAATAATTCTCAGGTTTTGAGATGAACTTCGGACTCTGCTACAAGAGCTTTAGTGTTTTAGTAGACGGATAGGTGGCATGCTAAAAGGGGAATGTACCCTTCCGAGCCGAGGAGACAATTATGTCGAGTCAGGTGACATGATCACTGCAACTAATGTCAAGTCTTATACTGCCTTGCAATTCACATGAATCTAACATCTTTGCGACTGTTATGATGTCGATTTTGAAGACAGAAACAAGAAGACAAAATTACTCCATATTCTGATCAAATTTATTTCAAAAGGCGCGTTTCGTGAACAAACATATATGAAGATTGTTGTCTTATAGTATGTGACACCGAGTAGTTCGGTAGATAGTTACTGAGGTTTCGAAGAAATCTACTGTCTCCTTCTTCAGGGTATACGGAGGAAATCTCTGAAAAGTCGTCACTATCTACAAGACTACATTCTTCATGACCACCGCAGTGAGAATCTTAGTCTTGTAGATGTTCATGAAATTTAAATTATTATTTGAAGGTCTTCATTAGGTGAAAAAGAGGCTCTAAGGTGCCCTTTGAAAATTTAGCCGAAAACTTCCTCAACTCTGCATTTATGTGTATGTATGTATGTACCTACTACTATATCGGAAATTAAACTGTTACTATTGCTTATAGATTCAGTACACATTACTTATAATATTTATATTTAAATGCTAACACTAAGGCCAAATAGCAATAATACATACATACAAATACATATACATATATACATAAGTACATGCATACATACAGTATATGCACATACATACATACATATATATCATATCTCCAAAGGAGGTCACTGAGCCAAATTACGGACGTTTCCCGCCCAACAACAGTCTCTAATACCTCTGGTAGATGGGGGAAGCATTATAGATACCTCTCAGCTAGTAGAGCCGGTCTCGCTGACTGGGCGGGACTGATGGTAAGCACCAGTACCGGTAGGATATAAAGACTGGTAGAATATCATAGAGGGAAGCACAATGGACCAATACAGGTCTAAGTGCATGGGGAAACCCACCCGTAAAGTTACGACACGGGACACACAGCTTAAAGTCCCTCCCGGAGGACTTGTTCCCTGAATTTTTCCGCCCTTAAAAATTCGACGACCTCCGCCGGGTATTTGAACCCGCGTACCACGAGTCATGAGGTGGGAACGTTACCTCTAGACTACGGAGGCCGCTTGCATTTATGTAAATTATGTATAATTATTCATATAGGTGTGTAGGTCTTGCTAGCCTTATGCTACAAGCTGAAGCAATTTGAAAATAAACTAGGCCGTTTCAGTTTTTCTCAAAACTTACTGTTAAAGGATATAAGGGCGGTTGTGTGTGTAGCCCTATATGGTTAGTTAGATCAGGGAATTCATAAGTTTCTGTGAACGAATAAGAGCGCACAAAACAAATCTTATTCTGCAGATGCGATTTGATATGAAAATAAGTTAAAAATTGTAACTTACTCAGATACAACAGCTGTAGCGTCTTCCAATCAGAATAATAGCAGCAGTTAAGATATGACACCTTACAAGATACCTTTAAGGTCATAGAGATATATCGGCATCTCTTAACTTATCCATGATTCTGATATTGTCTATCTTTCTGCTGACTTATCCGGTTTAGGTGAAAATAAACGATTATGGTTCCGGAGCTCATGAAGATTTCAGATCTGTTTTCTCTCACATTACCGGGTCGATAGCCTATCTTTTGAAAATACGTTATATCAGAGCGATAATACACCATCCCCAAGAGATATATTTTTAGTATTAGGTGATTACATTGTTTTATCTGATGCATTATTTTAAATCAAGTTTACTGTGATAATTAAAATGATTATATTCGAAATTCGGGCGATTTGTGTTGATCGCTATGTAAATATTGATGATTAAAGCCACTTAGAGTCATTTCTGAACAGCTATATCTTTAGAGTTCAGAAATTCGAGCGATTTCAACCCAATATATTCGGTGCAGAGACATAAGATACCACAAATATTTCACATAAACTGAACAGCCAAATCAATGTCTTAATTATCATACTGACAAAATTGTGGTCTTATAAAATAAGTAACAAGCTATCTCGCGCCCATTATGTATCATTTTCAACGTCAGTGCTATAAGAATTCGATTTATGGAACGCCATTTTACTTGAGATTGCTGTATTTCTAGACTTTGTCCAACGCATAGTATTCTGAAGGAACATGGCTGCGCACAACGCTCAGAAGCTTAGTAATGCGCCGTAGCCTGAACTCTTGAAGTTTGCCATTGTACTTCCATGCCAATAAAGATTTATGCGTGATGAATCTTTCCGCCTCTTCATACCTCAACAATTATTTTAATACAGGCCTGCCTAAGCGTAGATATTTTTATTTTATGAAAGTTATCTTTTGAGTGATACCTGTGGAATTATTAAGTGGTAATATATCCTGTGTCCTTCTAGGATTAAACTGAAGTTTGTTCAAATTAACCGACGTCTTCTGAATGGTTTCCCATGTCTGTATTTCCTTGGTTCGTAACTGACTGCAAATTTAGTGAGCATCTCATTATAGGGTCTGTAAAACTGCTTTAACCATTTCTCTCTGTACAGTATGATCTTGGGAACCCGACCGTGCCCTAGTCCGACACGTCCGGTAATCTGGTATCATTCGCCAGACAGGAGTCCGCGACCTTGTGTAGGATTCTACAGGAAACAGAGGCTGACATGTCTTCAGTCGAGCTTGACAAACTTATTTATTTTGACCCTCGCTAGTACGCAGTGTTCCAGTTCTTCAGTAGTACAGTTTTCCTGTACAGTATTTTATATACAGCGGTGGATTTAATGTGTGCTGAAGATATCCAGTTATGACAAACGTAAACATAAAACTTTAAATGCTAAAGCGGAAATAATTAAGAAACTTGGAAATGTGAAAAACTTATTAATTTGGCTAAAGATTGTGGTGTTTGACGTCCTACGACAGATGATATCAATAAAAATTGATAAATAAAAATAAATGTGTTCAGACTTTTCCAGCAATCCGTCATTTTCGGCAATCCGACAGTACCTTGGCCCCATAGATGTCGGATTACCAAAAGTGTGCTGTATTTTTCTACTTTCGGTATATTTTTTAATCTGACAATTGCAAGTTTCGGCAGACGACCAGAATTACAGAATTTATGGATTTTATTAATCGTCTAATCTTCTAAATGTTTCGGAAAGGGGCTTTCTTCAGCTGGAAGTGAAAGTGTGGAGATGCACCTACTCAGTTGGGTCTGTGCGGTCTACAGGACACCCTTTCATCTGAGAGTAGAAACAGATTCAGTTTCCGAAACACTAAGTTATTGTTAGAACATCAGAAAGTGGACAAAGTCCAGAAACTCAGCAATCCTCAGTACAACACAGCATCGCGCCAGACATTTTCAGAATTCACTTATCACTCAGTTTCTAAGTGGTGGACAGCCGGGATTCGATTCCAGGCAGTGGCGAGAGATTTTCTGCTTCACCACGGCGTCCAAACCGGCTGTGAGGTTCATCCAGTTCCTGTCGAATGGTTACCGGGGGTTCTTTTTCATGGCTTAAAGCGACAAGGGCGTGAAACTGACAACTTCATCTCGTGCCGAGGTCAGAAATGGCGAAGCTGTATTTCCGCTCCCCTACGCGTCTTCATACCATCTTGCTTAATTAATTAAGAACAGTGTGAAATGTACCTTTACTGCGCTTCTTTAATATTATCAACTTTCTTGTGCTTCTTAACCTGATTTCCGCTTTCAGTTAATAAAGATGTAGGATTTATCCCTTCATAAAATATAAATTTTATACCTCCTTCTATTTTTCATTCATGAATAACACCAATTGAACAAATAGATTCTTGAATTATAATAG